GGGCGGGGGGGTGTAAATATTTAGCATATTTAAAATTTTTAGTAATTTGTTGCTGATGGTTCAAGTTTCTTAGGGCTAAACATTTGCTTCTTGTCTTTGTCTTACAGGAAGATGAAGTGACTAAAACGTACAAAGTAAGTGTTTTCAGGATGCAACCAAGCCTTTATTTATTTTATATTATTACTTCCACCAAAAGGGAGAAGTGGATGAAAATGTTTTGTGCATATGTCTGTCTTTTTTCAAAATATACAGTATAATGAAGCGGAGCAATTTTAATGAAAGTACAAATGATACATCTACAACTTTATACTGAATCCAATTCAAGATACCTGCCACAGCTAATCAACAGTAGGCAAAACGAAAACAACTACAACTCAGTCAATTTAAAATATATTGAGCTTAAATTTGAAGTGGTAGTAGCTGAGAGTCATCTACAGCACACACTTTGAATGCATTAGATTTCGCTTAACATTATTTTCAACAGTTCACTAAAACATGTAGATTCTTGTCATTTCTCAAAATAAAATGATTTTATTTGAAATCTTTGGCCTGAAAGGTGGTGAGCGATATGCACTGATTGATCAAGTAGACATCACGAGAGTAAAAGGTTTTCTTTAATCATAATCTGTTGGGTTTTTTTTCTGTATTTTTTGAAATATAAAACTAAATATTTGAGTGGAAATGTTGGCAAAACAACTGACGTCACGACCCGCAGGATTCATGTTGGAACACGGCAGAGCTGCAGTTCACTCAGGTTGTGAAACTCCAGGCAGGCCCTCTGCAGCTCTGGCTGCCACACGATGGGCCACCCTCTGCAGCAGCTGTTCTGTAACCTGCTGCTGCACCAGGTCGTGTCTGTGAACTACAGGGAGTGGTTCGTTGGGGTCTTTGATAGCCTATTGTCCCATAAAGGAATGTTTCCACTCTCTTGCATTTTCCATTTCCACACCAAGCATTCCACCACAGCTCTGGTGAGCCTGCGGCCGAGAGCAACCCCCTCCTGTCTTAGCTGAAGCCCCTCAAACGTCTGACAGCGAAGAATAGGTTTATGTTTTAGATTTCTTCCCTTTCATATAAGGCTGTCTTTTGTTCCACAGGTAAGAGGAGTCTGCACACCTCGTTGTGTTTGCATTTCCAGCTGTAAAAATGCTCCGAGGTGCTGGGTGACTGCTTATTGGATCAGGCAGGAAGGAAGGCAGCTATGAGGTTCAGAAAAGGTATGAAACATAAAATCAGGAGGTCGTCAGGACCAGAGTCAGACAGGCTGGAATGCAGCCAGACCTTGGAATGAATATCTCTCCTCCTCCTCCTCCYTCTCTCACTAATGTGCTAATTTTTTCTCTCCTTTTCTCTGTAATGCAGCATTTTTCATCTCCAGCTTTGTTGCTTATGGTGCACTTTTTTCTCCTTCTAAACCATCTTTTTATTTTTTTGTCTTTTTTTTCCCTCCCCAAGACTCATGAATCATCACTAACTCCTCAGTCTTTATTGTTACAAGTTAATGATTTTCATTCACGTTTTCTAAATACTTGCTTTTTCTTCTTGGAGAATTTTTTTTGTTAAATAAGAACACATTTCAAAAAACAAACAAAAAAAATAAACCATATAAAACAATGATGCACAATTATTTGTTTTCTGTGACGTAGTGTTGAGATTTAACCAAAAATGGCTCAGTAAATTGGCCAACATTGTTCTTGGCTCTTTTTATTAAACTAAACTGATGACGGTGAAGTTATTCAAACCTTATGTGGTGACCTATAAAACATTTAGACCCAGAAAAAGAAGAATTAGATGTCTGAACATTAGAACCAAATATGTTTTCAGTTGCTGTTTCTTCTCATTATTTGTCTTGACATTTGTGACCTCGCAGTTTAAGACGAATAGAAATAAATGCAGTTTAATCAATAGTTATCTAGTATTTTATGAGCTGCAACATTATTATTATTA